GTGTATGGGGGTGGGGGGGATGTGAGAAAACCTTGATCTATGCAGGAAATAGCCCGACTTGATTATGTAAAGAGTTGTCACTTTGGATGGGCTAGCACCAGCAGGAGAGTGAATTTGTGTGGGGGGTGGAGGGTGAGAAAACCTGGATTTGTGCTGGAAATGGCCCACCTGTTGATCACTTTAGATAAGCTATTACCAGCAGGACAGTGGGGTGGGAGGAGGTATTGTTTCATATTCTCTGTGTGTATATAAAGTCTGCTGCAGTTTCCACGGTAAACATCTGATGAAGTGAGCTGTAGCTCACGAAAGCTCATGCTCAAATAAATTGGTTAGTCTCTAAGGTGCCACAAGTACTCCTTTTCTTTTTGCGGGTAAGGTGAGCTATTACCAGCAGGAGAGCGGGGGGAAGCGGGGGAGGGGGTAGTGATAATCAAGGTTGGCCATTTCCAGCAGTTTACAAGAACATGTAAGGAACAGTGGGGGGGAGGGGGGGCAGGAGAGAATAAACATGGGGAAATAGTTTTACTTTGTGTAATGACACATCCACTCCCAGTCTTTATACAAGCCTAAGTTAATTTTATCCAGTTTGCAAATTAATTCCAATTCAGCAGTCTCTCTTTGGAGTCTGTTTTTGAAGGTTTTTAGGGAAGAATTGGCACTTTTAGGTCTGTAATCGAATGACCAAAGAGATTGAAGTGTTCTCCGACTGGTTTTTGAATGTTATAATTCTTGACGTCTGATTTGTGTCCATTTATTCTTTTACGTAGAGACTGTCCAGTTTGGCCAATGTACATGGCAGACCTAATAGTGGCAATTCTTCCCCACCCCCATCCCCCCGCTCTCCTGCTGGTAATAGCTCACCTTACCTGGTCACTCTTGTTACAGTCTGTACGGTAACACCCATTGTTTCATGTTCTCTGTGTATATAAAATCTCCCCACTGTATTTTCTACTACATGCATCCAGTGAAGTGAGCTGTAGCTCACAAAAGCTTATGGTCAAATAAATTGGTTAGTCTCTAAGGTGCCACAAGTATTCCTTTTCTTTTATCTGTATTCAGTTTTTATTACTATACTAGACTTAGACTGGTGTGTTTTATTTTATTTTGCTCGGTAATTCACTTTGTTTTGTCTGTTACTACTTGGAACCACTTATATCCTACTTTCTGTACTTAATAAAATCACTTTTTACTTATTAATTAACCCAGAGTATGTATTAATACTTGGGGAGGGGGGAAACAGCTGTGCATATCTCTCTATCAGTGTTATAGAAGGCAACCAATTTATGAGTTTACCTTGTATAAACTTTATACAGGGTAAAACGGATTTATTTGGGGTTTGGATCCCATTGGAAGTTCGGTATCTGAGTGTTAAAGACTGGAACACTTCTGTAAGCTGCTTTCCATTGAGCCTACAGCTGTTAGGGGATGTGGTTCAGACCTGGGTCTGGGTTTGCAGCAGGCTAATGGACCTGGCTCAAACCAGTCAGGGCACTGAAGTCCTAAGCTGACTGGGCAGGAAAGCAGGGGCAGAAGTAATCTTGGCACATCTGAAGGCAACTCCCCAGGGGGTTTCTGTGATCCAACCCGTCACAGTGGTGTAGTCAAGCAGGCTCTGTGCACAGCTGATTACTTTGAAATACTGGTAGTGATTTTAAGTGAGTTTTAAGTGTGGTGGCTGGAGAACAGACAAAGTGGTCACTGGTTTGTTATTTTCTGTTTGCTTATTTTGTGTAAGGGAAGTAGGGACAGAAAAGGAAGCAAAATAACTAAGAAGGAAGATCAGAAGAAGCTAAAACTGCACAGGTGTGGGGGGCTTTTGGGGGTTGATTTTGACTAGCTACATTGACATTAAGACTTCTTATCCCTTGTCTCCACTAGGGTTTTCTTGATGTAAAAATACAAATTATTTTGTTTTGTAGTGAAGACATAACCTTAAGTGCTGATACAAAATCCCATTGAAGTCAGTGATAGTGGATGGTGCCCCCATTTGCCCTCTGTTATAAAAAGAAAACCAGTGGCAAGCAAAAGCTTGTTTTTGCTGATCCTACGATTCAACATAAATATTACGTTTTCCCTTCCAAATCCCCTCTTCATTCCCCACAGATGTAAATTAATTTGTCTCAAGCCTGTTCCTCTGAAAATGTCCTTTTTGAATGAGTTCAAAACTGTAACCCTGCACCCTGTTACAAGAGGTAAATATATTTTTTCTTGTTTTGTTCAATGCATTAAATAGAAAACTCACAACATACCATATCACTGGAATTTGTACAGTTATTTGGAGATCTTTTTCCTAGTTAGTTAGATCGGGGATGTAAATTGACACTAAATTTGGATCAGGGGCTTGCTTTCAGAGTGTGAGTTGTTATCAGAATATTTATTAATAAAATTTAACAACACTTTGGGCTTTATGCATAAGACTTTGATTTTGTCACAGGTATTTTTAGTAATAGCCATGGACAGGTCGCGGGCAATAAACAAAAATTAATGGAAGCCTGTGACGGGAGGAGGGACAAACAAAACGCTGCTAGGGCTTGCAGCTGCTTCAGCCCCATGGCTGCTCCTGCATCAAGGTCAGACCCATCTTCAGCTGCTGCTCTGGCAGGCTGGGGATCGCTGTTCTGGTGGCCTGTTGCTGACTATTGGTCAGCTGTTCAGGCTGCCCGGGGCTGACAGCTGCTCCAGCCCTGTCCCAGAAGAAGTCCTGGAGATCCCAGAAAGTCATGGAATCTGTGACCTCCCTGACAGAATTGTAGCCTTACATATGCATTTGAAATTATCTACTATCTTCTGAGTTGTACAGTGTCATGGTTGGACAACAGGCTGACTTTTCCACATGACAGGTAGAAATACAATATAGGGCCTGAAACAAAGAGAAGAGAACCCTATATTTAGGGCCCAAATCCATTTAAATCAATGGGGGACCTCTCAGTTGATCTCAGTGGGAGTTGGATCAGCTTTGGGAAAAGGAGCTCATGTTTACAATACACAGTGAGTCTGAGTTTCATTTACATTACAGCCCCTTCACACCACACTGACAGTATAACAAAGAAAATAACAAAAAAGCCTAACAAAGAAAATATCAGAACGCCACTAGCCGTCACCTTCAGCCCCCAACTTCAAATCCAGACTCCAGCAAGAAACTGCTGAATTGGAATTCATTTGCAAATTGGATACTATTAATTTAGGCTTAAATAGAGACTGGGAGTGGCTAAGTCATTATGCAAGGTAGCCTATTTCCCCTTGTTCCCCCCCCCACCCCCCGACGTTCTGGTTAAACTTGGATTTATGCTGGAAATGGCCCACCTTGATTATCATACACATTGTAAAGAGAGTGGTCACTTTGGATGGACTATTACCAGCAGGAGAGTGAGTTTGTGTGTGTGGGGGGGGTGGGGGGGGGGCGGAGGGTGAGAAAACCTGGATTTGTGCTGGAAATGGCCCAACTTGATTATCATACACATTGTAAGGAGAGTGATCACTTTAGATAAGCTATTACCAGCAGGAGAGTGGGGTGGGAGGAGGTATTGTTTCATGGTCTCTGTGTATATAATGTCTTCTGCAGTTTCCACAGTGTGCATCCGATGAAGTGAGCTGTAGCTCACGAAAGCTTATGCTCAAATAAATTGGTTAGTCTCTAAGGTGCCACAAGTACTCCTTTTCTTTTTGCGAATACAGACTAACACGGCTGTTACTCTGAAACCTGACAGTGTAAAGTATCCTTAAAGTGAATGTAAATATAATTAAGCTTGGAAGGATTAGATTTTTTTTGGTAACTATCTGTAAACATTGATTTTCATTATACATACATAGACAAAAATATTTCCATTGATAATAATAAAAATTTACAGACAGGCAAAGTTATAAAAATGCTGCTTGAGAATTTATTAGAATTAGATTTAAGGATATTTATTTGTATATTTTGATGTGATTTCGACAATTTGTGTTAACATTTTAGTGGTTGTAAAATGTTAACTTTTTGAATCTCAGTGTCTGTCACTAAATTATTTTCTGATACCCTCCTAACTTTCTATAGCTATGAAAATTGAAATAGCTAAAAATCTAAAAAAAGTTTAAAAATAAATTTTAGAAGTCAAAATGATCAAAAAAACTAATTGTGCCAAACCTAAATGTAATTAATTATATATAGCATGGAATTATGAGTTGTAGAGTCATTTAAAAATCAAAAGGAGTACTTGTGGCACCAGAAGTCAGAAATCCATTGTGTATATCAAAATTTATATTTTAACTAGCAAAAACATAAATTAATGTATTTGATTTACAAGTTTAGCTAATAAAAATTAGGTAATATCTATACAGCTAGACACCACTTCTAAAGACCCAGTTTTACAACATTAGAAAGCTTTTTCCAAAATCTTGACCTGAATGGAATCTAACATGGATTAATTTGTTAGGCCCTGCAGCCTTTTTTTATAGGCCTTTTTCTTATTTCTCTTTCACCTCAGCCAATCAGCACAATACACCTTTCCTTGCTTTTTTCCCTTCTGAAGACCCTCTTAATACTATGCATCCAATGAAGTGGGCTGTAGGCCTCGAAAGCTTATGCTCTAATAAATTTGTTAGTCTCTAAGGTGCCACAAGTACTCCTGTTCTTAATACAACTGCGAGACTTGCATTTAACTCCAGGGCCTTTCCAGCTTTTCTTATTTTGTATGTTGTAAAATATCTTATTTTACTGCATACATCAGCTAGGGAACCAAGTTAAGTTAGAAGTGGGAATCTTAACTGTGCATTTTCTGTCTTTTATGTCAATAAGGTTTCAATCTAAATATTTAATTAACATTGTTTTCGGCATATAATTCCCCTTTCTTTTTCTTTCTTCTTAAGTAATAATGATGTACAGGAGGAAATTATAAGTATTGTGGTTCACTTTGTTCTTTAGCAACAATAAAAGAATCAACTGTCTGGATTATTCAGTCATTCAGAAGTACCTACATTTTTATTTACTGTGAACTAAAGTATCAGAAGTTCTGTTTTTACAGCAAAATTCCTTTGGATGAAGTTCTTCTGCAGAGACATTATATCAGAGATAGAGCAAAACAAATTTACAGTCAAAGCACACTTCCAGTATGTGATAGTAAAAGCTTTATATATCACATCATTAAACCAGAACAGAATACTGAGGACAAAAAGCTTACATCTGGGAAACAAGTAAGTGTACTATTAAATATTAATTTAATAACTATTTTCAGAAAAATCTGGACTCTGCATATAGCACCAAGGATCATTCTAAATATTCCAGGAAAATCTGTTAAGAATAAAGAGCATCTATTGAAAAACTTTGTTCTTGACATTTAAGGTTCTGTTTTACAAGCTATGTTGCAATCCCTACAACCTCAAAGACAGAATGGTCTTTGTTTAGACTTAGAGGGGGGAAAGAAGTAAGGAAAGGGTGGTGAGATCCCAGCAGATGGCTGGGGAACAGCTATGGAAGGATGATGGCAGCCCTCTACCAGGTAGAAATGATTAAGGAAGGAATCATTACCTGCACTGCACAGTATATTGCTGGATAGTTCCCAGATGAAATAAGCTGATAAAGTTATGGCCTAATTAAACCACACCCCTCACATCTTGTCTTTCTTTCTGCATGTCCAGAACAAATAATGTGAAATGCTGATGTGTGATACAAATGGATGATAAAGACAGGAATGCTAATGTTTAGTATACATACTATAGCTCTAAATATTATACTATGTTAATTGTTAGTGCTGTGCAATTTTGTAAAAACTACATGCCATTCATTGCACTTCCATTATTTAAATATCTTTTTCATATCTTTTCACACAGTTTAAAGGTATAATGCTGCTATTCTGTGATACAAAAGAGCATTAGAAAACCCACTTGTACAAATAGAAGAGCATAGTTGTTTCCTTTTAACAAATAGAATTTTCTCTGTTTTCCTGCTTTCTCTGTGCTTTCTTACTTTTGTCAGATACTACATAGAATGCCACTGTCCCACTTTTTCACATATCTGTAGTTTTCCTCCTCATAGAAGAGAATCAGGAGTCTTTTCTTTTTGGAGTTAAAACCAAAATAGCCTCTCTTTATACCGTAAATATGGTTGTATATTACAACTTTAAATATAATTGCTGAATGAATTTCATGTGGAACAATTTCTTAATGTTATTTTGATTATTTTTAAACCATCTATCTTGTTAATTTGAACTAAAAAAAAAAATCATACATTACCAGAGGTGGTTCCAATCATAGCTGCAGGCACCCCAAGAGTCAGGAAAAGTACTTGTCAATTGCCAACAATCTGATACTGCCTGTAAATTTCCTTATCTGATTCTAGCTTTTTGTGTTTCTTTTATCCTGGACCTGACACAGAGCTCCTTTAATAACCAGTTTTATAGCCTTAAACAATCTTTCCTTGTCATCTGTTTTCCAGTGAAAGCCATAGATCTAACCCTTTCCTTTCCGGTCACTGGTCTAGGAGCAGTAATTAGAGAAGTTCACATTATATTTCCATCCCTGGTAGTTGAGATATCCAACCTTAAAATCAAATCATTCTTATTACCGTTTTACTGTTTTCTGCAGTTAGATTTTAAGATGATTTTAAGAGATAATATCTGGTGAACATGTAATACGGTTAATGCTTTATTGGTGTGATCCTTCTTTCTTCAAGATCTGTGGGAGTTTGGCCTTTCAGTCAATGGGTTATAACATTTGAATGATAGGTTCAAAGGTTTCAGATGTATACAATTCTAATTTTAGCTTAATAACGTGTTGAAATAAGGGAGTGGAAGTGAAAGGAAAAGCAAACAAGTAGCCAGAATAATATGATTTCAAGTTCCAGGATTCTATGACATGCCGGCGCTAGATACACATGATATGTAACAGTGGAAAAAACTTGCCTATGATATACAGCATTAATTTCTAGCTCTGATCGTATGTGAGTTATTGAACTTTAAAACTGTCACTGATCCCTTAATCTAGCAGTGCTTTTTGCACTGGTCTAGAATGAATACAGCAAATCTCCATAGAAATGCCCATAAATAAATAAAGTTCTGAACTTTGGAAAAGAAAATTTTCACAGGGGAAACTGCTGATGAAGGTTGTGTCTTTCAGCAGAGTGGTTGCTTGGTTTGCACTCCAGAGATAGATACATTTTAGTGGTGGATGATATGATCACTGTACATAGAGGACCCGATTCTAATTTGTACTAAAGTTCTTTATACCACGCTAAAACTCTTTTACCATGTCAGGGCCTTAGTGTAAATGAGGCTCAGGCCCAGAATCTAAGGCATTTTGTCATTTCATAAGTCTATGAAAAGTACTATTCTAAATGTATAGTATTTTAAATTTTTACATATTTTTTCTGTTACATGGCATGTCTTTTTTTTTCAATATTAATCATCCCCAGCACAGATCAGAATGGAAAACTCCATAAAACAGTGAGAATGTGATGACAAAGTGCAGTGAATTTCAAACACCTTGAGCTGATGATTCTTCCACAAGTGTTGATGAGTGAGACTCTTGAGGCCAAATACAACTGTACAGAGGGATAGCTCAGTGGTTTGAGCATTGACCTGTTAAACCCAGGGTTGTGAGTTCAGGGGTCCATTGAGGGATCTGAGGTAAAAATTGGGGGTTGGTCCTGCTTTGTTTGAGCAGGGGGTTGGACTAGATGACCTCCTGAGGTCCCTTCCAGCCCTGATATTCTATGATACTTTAAGCAAGTGGAATTCCACTTATGCTAACAGAACTTCCTCTGAAATTAGGCACTGGAGTTTTCGCTTCTGTTACAATCTTGGTTCTGCTTATGTTGATTTACAGAAGTCTTCTAAAAGCACTGCCCTAAGAATCTTGAGTTGAATGGTTTAATAAATGGACATAGTTAGGTTAGTGTCTGTACACACAACCTTTTCTCTTTAAAAAGTGTAACAAAATTAAACATTTAGTTTACAACAAATGTAGATGAGCTGTTAATAAAAAGTGATTTTAAGAATTAGAGAGAATTAAAGGAAAACTGCACTCATTTTCCTTAGCCTAACATTTACATTTTTAAGAGGTAAAAACACTTTTAATCGCAAATGAACTATAAAATATTCTTTTTTCACAGTTAATTAAGATTGGCATTTTATAGAATAATGCTAGAGGTGGACATTTTGTTGAGAACGTGTCATTTTTGACATTACTACTGTTGGAGCCTGGTGTAAGGTTGTACATTTTTTTTCAGTTTTCTTAGAACATATATATTTAATGTTTATACATACTGAAATAGTTCTTGTGATTGTTAAGCCATTATTACTGCAGATCACAGTCATCATTATTGCAGATGACACTACTTTTCAATAAAATGGCTGCCTCCACCACTAGTTTCAGAAATACTGATTATTTACAAAATATATATTTCAGTTTATTCAGTGAGAATTGATTCTTACCCTGTGAATTTGCATACTCTGGGGTGGGGGAGGGGAATTTTCTTTTAAGAGGAAGGAGGAAATGTTTCTCCAGTAAGATGGATTATAAAAGCTAATGGCTGTTTGAAACTGTTCAATCTTCTGACATTTGGGGGAGCAGGATAAACTAATTATCGCTCTGCTGTGCAATTTATGTGGCTATCACCTCCATATGTGTTGCAAACATACAGTAAAAGAAAATATTACAAAAACAAATTATTAACCAGAAAAATTACTATTTGTTAGCTATCCTGATATTAAAAAAATCTTACCACCAGCCTCTTGAAAGGGTCTTACTAACAATTTAGTTGCTCTGGGAAACTCAGAATGTCATAATAAGATTCCAACCTTGATTAGGCTATTGAGACGTCTCTGCTCTCTTTCTTGTACAACTTAATCAGAGAATCCAAACCACCAACATAAACTGCCAGCACTTGCTTCCCAAGCCAGGGTTAACACTCAAAGTCAAAGTTAGGCTTGGTTTGTTGTAAAAGAATGTAACAACCATTGACCTTGTAGTGTTCAGGTTTGCTTTTCAGCCTCTGAATACTTCTGCATCAGTTGGACTCAAACAAAAAGATGCTTTATACCATGCATCACTTAGTTGTTGTAGAGACACTGTGCACACATCTTCAAATTCAATGCCTATCAGCAGGACATGCTTTCTTTACTTTCATACCTTGTTATTCGGCATAGTGGTGATGCCCCACAAGTTTTACAGTGAGCAATTTGTAATGCTATTCCATATTTTCTTCCTTATTGCCGAATTTTTATTGAACTTTTAAAATGTCTTACTTCAAATTTATGATGATTTTTAATTGAAAAAGTATGTACTGTATCTTATCAAGTTGTGTTTAACTTTTGTTTTTAACTGGTTAAAATGTATTCCTAAATAAAAACATCCTTTATTAATTTAAGTTATGGCACCTATTAAATTGTTCAGGAGTTGTATTTTCTTAGTACTGTGGAAGATTAGAACTGTGAAGTAAAATACTAATCTGATAACGTTAAGACTGCTCCAGAATAATCATAGACATAAATTATAATTTCTTGAAAGAGAAAAAATATTATAAGAATATGAACATGATGAAGGCAGACTTATCAATCTAATAAAGCAGTGAAGCAGTAGTGCCAGAATTCTGAACAAATGGTTTAAATTGAGAATAGCATCCTGTGGTATTCAAAGGAAATATTAGTGATAATCGTGAAAATTTGTGAGCATTTCAGAAGTCATCTAGGAAGCTAACTGAATCAGATTAATAACTGATGAAACTCCAGGAGAAAGAATCAAACTCAAGTATGTACTTGCCATCAGTCTGTTGATATAATGTAGAAATATGCAAGCATTTTGTCTGATTTTACAAAACCAGTGAAATAAATGCAATGCTACTGATACTGAAAGTGTTCTGTTACTGAAAGTGTTTTAAAGGCATAGGCACCTCCTTGCAGCTCGGATTTAGATACCAATCTCTGAGAGAGGGGCATGACTTAGGACACACTTCTCTTGTTTGCATCTCCCATTGGCTAGCTTAGGAGGCTGTCTGCCTAGTGTGTTGGCTTCTGTGGATTGCCTATGTCTCCGCATTAGTTTTAGGGAGCCTAGGCACCTAACTCAGGCTTTGTGGATTGTAGTGTTGTTCCTGTGATTTTCTAGGTGCATCTGGGCCTAACCCCTACAAGAAAGGAATCATGACTCTAAGAGTATATATAGATTGTATGTTTACTGCCTAACTCTCCATTAGAAATTATTTGGGTATAATGATACAATAGGGAAAATTGTTGCTTGATGTCTTCAGAGTAAGTAGTATTTCTGTAATCTTAACAATATTAACAAAAGTATTTATTTAGTGAAAAACAGGTTATATTCTATACTTGAGGTATTTGAACTGTAAAAATACAGTTTTTCATTGTTCTTTTTGGCTGTGATGACTAAACCACATTTTTGAGCCAAGAATGCCTAAAAATATAGTTGTAACTGCTTCCTCACTAAGGGCCTGATTCTGCAGCCCTGACTCATATCAGTGGGGCTCTTTCCATGAGTAAGGTACTACTGAGTCTAAGTTTTGGTATATTTTGACTTTTATAATTTAACTTTACACAAAACCTTAAACCCAAATTTATGATGACCTACAGATGTTGCTGAACGTGTTCTCTGAGTTCCAAATAGAAAAAAAAATCCATTGATTAATGATACTCTACTTAAATAAATCTGTAGAATTTCTTTTACTGGACGGGAGTGTCTTATTGAATTGTTGTACTTTAGTTTACTTGAAAGAGATTGTATTCTGTCCTGTTTATCCTATGTGTCAAACCTATGTATGTTTCTACTTTTTAATGCTTCTCTGAGGGAAATGGATGGCTTAGAAGTTTGGTTATAAGACATAGAACCTTATACTATCACTTCTAAACTAATCCAGTTTGGTAGTGACCAATTGTCCATCATGCTAAGCTTTTTTATGAAACAAGTTGGTGATCTTAGTCCAGTTCCTTTTGGATAAGTGTCCTATAACACATCACAAGTGGCATCATTATTGGGAGTTTGAGTTTGGCAGTAAATTGGCACCTTTCACAAGTAATAAGACATAGGGTATACTGGGGGAAAAAATAGAAACAGTGTAAATTTGGCATTAGCATGAACTAGTAACTATGATCTTTTAAATGAATTGTGTAAAATAAACACAGTCATATGTTTTCTTACATCATTGTCATAAGTCTGAATTGTTGTTTTGTTTTGTTTTACCTTTGGTATAGTTTAGGTTTTTTTTGTGTAGAATGGAAAGAAAACTAGATCCAGCAATTAATTTATAGAAGACAGTGGCATGCATATCACTGTTGATATAACTAGATTACATGGGAAACGACATAAGTAAAAATAAATTTAAATGAAACATATAGGAAATAATATTTCTTAAAAAAATTCTCATCTAAAGACTTGAAATCATGTTTTGTCTAAAGAGACATTGTTTACAATCTTACTGTTGAAACACATGTGGTGTTTAGATGCTGCTTGTAATTATTAGAACTGGGAGCACTGGCTGTTGGGAGTCTGAAAGGACAGGAAACAGGAAGCGGAGGGGAGAGTTGAGGAGGCGGAGTGAGAGCTACCGAGGGTGCAGCAGCAGCTTGGTAAACAGGTTTCCACTTTAAAAATAAAGTCCTGTTGAAGTTTGTTAGTACCTTGCCTGGTTGCTACAACATTTTGGCAACGAGGATGGATCTTCTGCCTCTGAACCTATCTGCACCATTTCTGCAAAGCCCAAGGTACAATATGTGCATTAAATCATGTGTTCAAGCTTTCAAATATCTTATTGACTGACCTATAGAATATCATGGCCATTATCTTTGAAAACTCATGGCGATCGGGGGAAGTCCCAGATGACTGGAAAAAGGCTAATGTAGTGCCCATCTTTAAAAAAGGGAAGAAGGAGGATCCTGGGAACTACAGGCCAGTCAGCCTCACCTTAGTCCCTGGAAAAATCATGGAGCAGGTCCCCAAGGAATCAATTCTGAAGCACTTAGAGGAGAGGAAAGTGATCACGAACAGTCAGCATGGATTCACCACAGCAAGTCATGCCTGACTAATCTAATTGCCTTCTATGACGAGATAACTGGCTCTGTGGATGAAGGGAAAGCAGTGGATGTGTTGTTCTTTGACTTTAGCAAAGCTTTTGACATGGTCTCCCACAGTATTCTTGCCAGCAAGTTAAAGAAGTATGGGCTGGATGAATGAACTGTAAGGTGGATAGAAAGTTGGATAGATTGTCGTGCTCAACGGGTAGTGATCAATGGCTCCATGTCTAGTTGGCAGCCGGTATCAAGTGGAGTGCCCCAAGGGTCGGTCCTGGGGCCGGTTTTGTTCAATATCTTCATTAATGATCTGGAGGATGGTGTGGATTGCACTCTCAGCAAGTTTGCAGATGACACTAAACTGGGAGGAGAGGTAGATACGCTGGAGGGTAGGGATAGGATACAGAGGGCCCTCAACAAATTAGACGATTGGGCCAAAATAAATCTGATGAGGTTCAACAAGGAAAAGTGCAGAGTCCTGCACTTAGGATGGAAGAATCCCATGCACCGCTACAGACTAGGGACCGAATGGCTCGGCAGCAGTTCTGCAGAAAAGGACCTAGGGGTGACAGTGGATGAGAAGCTGGATATGAGTCAACAGTGTGCCCTTGTTGCCAAGAAGGCCAATGGCATTTTGGGATGCATATGTAGGGGCATTGCCAGGAGATCGAGGGATGTGATCGTTCCCCTCTATTTGACATTGGTGAGGCCTCATCTGGAGCACTGTGTCCAGTTTTGGGCCCCACACTACAAGAAGGATGTGGAAAAATTGGAAAGAGTCCAGCGGAGGGCAACAAAAATTATTAGGGGACTGGAACACATGACTTATGAGGAGAGGCTGAGGGAACTGGGACTGTTCAGTCTGCGGAAGAGAAGAATGAGGGGGGATTTGATAGCTGCTTTCAACTACCTGAAAGGGGGTTCCAAAGAGGATGGATCTAGACTGTTCTCAGTGGTAGCTGATGACAGAACAAGGAGTAATGGTCTCAAGTTGCAGTGGGGGAGGTTTAGGTTGGATATTAGGAACCTAAATCCACCACTAGGAGGGTGGTGAAAGACTGGAATGTGTTACCTAGGGAGGCGGTGGAATCTCCTTCCTTAGATATTTTTAAGGTCAGGCTTGACAAAGCCCTGGCTGGGATGATTTAGTTGGAGATTGGTCCTGCTTTGAGCAGGGGGTTGGACTAGATGACCTCCTGAGGTCCCTTCCAATCCTGATATTCTAAGAGTATATGATTCTATGATAAGCCTGGTGCACTGGATAATTTAGGTTACGTTTCTCATTACCAATCCTTTTCAACTGACTGTGGGTCACTAGTTTGGATCTGGCTCACTTGAGAAGTGAGAGAAAAGTATTATCTGATAGCTGTTTGGCAGTGTACGAGAAATGAGTTTCAGTCCAATTTCCAGTTGGCTGGTATCTACATCATAAAATGCATCACCTCAGTTAGTATCAATTGGCATCCTTGTATGACAGTCTCAGCAAAAAAGTCAGAATTCCAGTGGCCACAGAAACAAAAACCACCTCTCACCCAAGAGTTGGAAATAGTAGGTCAAGAATTACACACATTTGCATGACACCGTGTCATGAATTGCTACTGTGTATCATGTACCAGTTCTGTGGATACATAAGGGTGTGAGCTTCAAATGTGTTTTACAAGCAAGCACTGTATTCACTTAAAAAGCTGAGAATATCATAAACTGTTCTTTAGGGCTCCTTGTTTGCTCATACTGCTAAAGATAAAGTGCCCTTTTCACTGAAAAACTGCAAAGGAATGCATCTTGGTATAACATATGATGAGTGAAGAGTTGTTTAGACTAAAAGCTGGAATTTTTTTCAGGATTAGAGGTGTGGGGTTGGAACAAGTATGCACCTAGCCAAGCAAAGAGAGACTCTGCCTAGTAACAAATAGTCTTGCAAAAAAGGGGTATCATCCCACAAAAAAAGGAGGTTTTTTTTGTCAAATCGGTAAAAAAGTGTATAGGTATCTAATTATTTATAGGAAAAAGTAATATATGCTGTATTATTGCTACAAGTCTTCATTTTCTTGATTATAATGACATGTTTAATTAAAATAAAATTTGTTTTGTTAACAGGTATCCTATATGAATAATTTTAAAAAGCTTCCTGTTTTATGTCTGAGAAGAAAAAAACAACCAGTTTTCTCCATTTCACCCACATTGAGAAAAAAAAAAAAGAATAAACTAGGGGAACATAGAATTCCATGGAGGAAGGGTTAGTAATGTGATCCTTTTGTAATACTATATAAAATAAAAAATCTAACTAACCGTAAATGAGAAAAAGCTACTTGGAAAGATTTTAGCAACCATATTAGTTATTTATTCTAGGTGGGGCTGGTAGTGTCACTTCTAATTAAAGTTGCTTGATACTTCACATTATCAGACCCTATTTTCAGTTGCTTATAACTTTGCCAAACTTTAATTATTCAGGCTAACTTCTTCCATCTGTGTGTCTGACTCAAGCTGTAATTTTTTAAAAAAAATTCAATCAAAACAGTTCAGCCATTTGCAAGAATGAGTCTAGGGAGCAATACATTGTCTTGCCTATGTTAAAAAATTCTGGTAACCCTTTCTTTGAACAGCTCTACTGCCCCCATTCTTTGGAACAGGGACTTGAAATTTGGCAGGGGGTGACCTTTGTGTCAGGAATGTGTCTTTTGTTGCCCCATCAAAAATTCACCAACATTTGGCCAATTTACAAGCCTTTGGAATATTTTAAGAAATTGTACTTCACACATGCTCTGTGGAGACTTGCTAGAGTTTAACAGCTAAAATCTCTGAAGATTCCATCCTCATTGAGCATACTATGCATGGATGATCCCTGCAGAGCAACGGAGCATTCTCCATCCCCTCACAGCTCCGATGAATGACTGAGCACATTCTCTCCAGCCTAGGGCTATTGGAGCAAAACAGGCCTGTCCCAGTAATGACTGCTCTGAGCTGAGGATGGGCCAAACAGTGGAACTGGGAGCACAGAGCCTGCTTCTCCTGTGTTCTCAATGACTTCTCCCAGACGGTGTGGAGGAGGAGGCGATTTGATTCAAATGAAAAGGAGACAAGAGCCAGACCTAGGGTGTTGCAGGGGAAGGCTGGGGGAGTAGAGTTGGACAAGGAGCCTTGGTGGTGTGGACCAGGCCTGGAGGCTGATGGGGGTGGTAGAGACTGGGTCTGGGAATTAGGAGGACTGGCTGGGCAAGAAGACTGATCCTGGGAACCAGTGGAGAACTCGGGGACAGATCTGGAAAGAGGCTAGAGTGTGGGGGAAGAACTGGCACTGGCTCAGCAAAGAGTTTGGGACAAGGAGCAAGGGGAGGCACGGACAATGAGCCTAGATGAGAAGCCCAGGGAGGGAGACTGGTCTGGGAACCTGACTTTCCCAGTAATTGCTGCTCTGGGTCAGACTGGGGCTGCGCACTGGGAGTGAGAGCAGTAGTCTATTTCTCCTGTGCTCTCAATGACTCTTTTACTCGCACTCTGGCAGTATGGAAGAAGAAGTTGTCTGGTGAGACTGGGACTGGAGGTGAAAGGAAAGAAATGGGCTGGGAGCTGGGAGGAGAGACTGGAATTAGACCTGGAGAGGCTGGGACTGGTTGAGCAAGGAGACTGGGACTGGAATTCAATTTTGCTCTTGGGAACATGGAAATTGTACAATGAACTGGGGGAACTGAGGGGACTGAGAATGTCTGAACAAGGATCCTGGGACCAGAAACCAGTGTGTGAGGGAATGAGAATGAGGGCAGGAGGAAGGGGAAACAGATCTGATAAGGAGTTAGGGTGCAGGAGAAGACTGGGGGATGGCTAGGCAAAGAAACTGGGAGAAGCCAGGGAAAAGAGAGATCAGGGCAACAAACTGAGGATGAGGTAGGTGGGGAGACTGAGACTGGATGAGGAGCCTGAGGAGGGAAGACAAAGAGTGAAAGCCAGTGTGGGAAAAGAGACAGACTGGATGCAGAGCCAGGAGGTAGGAACTGAGACTGGGTGTAGGGAAAGGGAGAAACTGAGAGTGTGTGTGGGGTGGGTGGGTGGGGGGAACTGGTACTTGGATAGTGAGGCAACGTGGGGAAACTAGACTAGGTGGTCAAGGATACTGGTATTGGGATGAGAATCCTGAGGGATGGAGATTGGTTAGGCAAAGAAAATGAAACTGGAAAAGGGAGCCAGGGCAGAGACAGAGGCAGAAAAGGGCAGGAGGGATCAAGCTTAGGGGGAACAGGCAGAAGAATCTGTGCCCACTAGAGCACACTCCCATCGAGAGCTTTAAATAGAACTGAAAATTCCAGAGTTTCACTATTGCTCTGCTGTCAGCAAATATCTGTGAAACCCACTGGCAAAGTGTGTCTCTCATCACCTACTAGAGCTTGTCCATCAAAGCGGTCTGGTGCGACTTTATGTTTGTGTGTCCTTGTCTGTGAGGAGCTTGCTTCTGATGATGAGCTTGGAGAGGTTGAGGGGTTATTTAAAAGCTAGAAGGGGTTCAGGAAAGATTTCTTTCAGGATGGTGTCCACATCGAGCATGGATTGTAGTTGTTCGATGATACTCTGAATGGGTTTCAGTGTGGGGTGGTAGGTGACAACTAAAGGTATGCATTCTCAGAGGGGTGTTTATCTCCATATGAATCAGGTTCTCTTGGGGTATTTCAGTTGCCCATTCCATGATGTGACCTACTTCTCTGGTGGAGTGTTCTTGTTTGGTGAAGGTGGTTTTGGGTGTGTTAAGGTGTATATCCCGGATTTTCTGTTTGGTGCATATTCTGTGGAATTTGAGAGCCTGGCTGTAGATAACAGATTTCTTGGTGTGTTTGGGGTGGTTACTGGATCTATGAAGGTAGGTGCAGTGATCTGTGGGTTGCTTGTATATACTTGTCCATATGGTTCCATTGTTGAAGCTGATCATGGTGTCCAGGAAAGTGGGTGAACACTTTCCACAAAGCGATCACTCTATATCTGACCTATCAGTCCTCATCCTGAAAGAAAACCTACACAACACTTTCAAAAGACAAGCTTGGGAGCTTAAATTCACAGCTTTGCTAGACACTAAAAATCATGGTCTTGATAAAGACATGGGATTTATGGGTTATTTCAAGAACCTGAAACCAACTAACTCCCCTTTTTGTCCTATGTCTGCAGAGGTGCTAATGGGCTACTTCACCTTGAATGGTCCCTTAAAATATGTGCTAACTACTTACACTAAACTATCTGTTTGATCTTGTATTTAGCTGTGACAAACTTAGGCTATGTCTACACTATGCAGCTTCTAGCAACACAGCTGTGTCATTACCTCTGTGCCGCTAAAAGGCACACAGTGTAGCCGCTGTTTGTCGGCTCGCCTGCTGAGAAAAACTTCTACCCCCAAAGAGTGGCATTAGCTGTGTCAGCAGGAGAGCACTCTTGCCCACAAAACGCTGTTCCCACCAGTGCTTGTCATCGGCAAAACTTTTGTCTTTTGGTGCGGGGGAGGTGTTTTTTAACACCTCTGAAAGACAAACATTTTGTCATTCAGTTGCTAGTAGACATAGCCATTGTGCCTTTCCCAGACCTTAACAAGAGCTCTGTGTAGCTTCAAAGCTTGTCTCTCTCACCAATGTAAGTTGGTCCAATAAAAGATATTACCTCAGCTTCCTTGTCTCTCTTAATATCATAACCTTTAATTTTTATTTGAATGGTGAAATTATGGAGAATATGGTGCCCTCTAACATCAACAATTTTTATCTTCCTCAAACATGGGTTTTCAGGGGACTTTTTTACTCAAAGTCTAATGTCAAGTTTGTAAATTATTTAAAGGACATTGTCAGTACTTTGACCGGTTGCATTTTGAGGTGCTTCTTATTTTAATATAATTGATGATATTTTATTGTATTTAATTGCTCCCCAGTACAACCTACTGTTGCTATTAGTTACTCTGTTAATTCAAGTGGCTAATTTAAGTTACGATTGGTTGTATGCAATGTAGGCTGAGAGCTTTCATAAGAGACTTGTGCAACCATAGTGGTGTGATCATTCCAGGAAATCAAAATAATGTCTATATCTTCTTACTGAACAAAGTCTTTAAAGCATTGTAGACATTTAAAATATCTAGTATACATAAGGAAATGTTGACTCAGTAAGTGATGTGCTAAATAAACACAGGAGGCCACTCTGTCTGCCTTATATGTATGTCGGGAGTCCCTCTTAATGAAAATAATGATTTCAAGAAAAGTATTTTTGAATTCTCACATACCTCAAAGAGTAAGAGAACATCCTAGTAGACATACTGAACTATTCCTGTTGACATAGTCAAAGGATTATTGTATTGAGGATGGCAGGGGGAAAAATATCTGAAATATGAGACATGAGCTTGATCTACATTATTTGCCACAAATCTTAGGTAAAACTCATGTATTTTTTCACTGACATATAGCTATATATTCTTCAAAAGGAAACTTCATGTAAACATTTCTCTTGTTTTCATCCACAAAAACCGCTTTTCAGGTTGAAAAGAGAGAATGTTTATGTTTACCTCTTATATGATTATGATTACAAAAATGATTCTGTAAAATGACATTTTGGTGTTTGATATTTATTCTCCTTAAGTCACTCTGTAACAAATTTGCTCAATTTTCAAATCAAAACAAGATTTTTTAAAACTGACAGCACTTCAAGTGTCTTGAAATCAAGCCATTTTCTTTTTACCCTCATACATTGTCAACACATAAATATTCTATATTCAGCATATGTCTTGCTTTGCAAGATGATGCATGAGGCAGAACAAAATATAGCATGCTCCTATGCAACTACTGCATATTGGCTCTGCAGTTCTTATAGTACTAAAAGTTATTTTATCTGTAAATGAAGCAATGTGACTGGCACTCATGTAAGAAGTGGATTTGATCAGAAAACAGGTAAAACAAAAAATTCTTTTGTGACCATGGCTATTTTGCAAATGCAATTATTGCATAAAAATAACATGAAGTCCTTAAATGAAAGCCACAAAGGCCAAAAAATTCACTTCATGCTTCTTACTATGTTCCTTGGCACTGTAAAGCTCTGAGGGAATGCATGAGCTGAACATAGAATCATAGAACTGGAAGGGATCTTGAGCGGTCATCTAGTCCAGTCCCCTGAACTCAAGGCTGGACTAAGTATTATCTCTAGACCATCTGTAACAGGGGTTTGTCCAACCTGCTCTTAAAAATCTCCAATGATGGAGATTCCACAACCTTCCTATGTAATTTATTCAAATGATTAACCATTCTGACAGTTAGGAAGATTTTCCTAATGTCCAACCTAAACCTCCCTTGCTGCAATTTAAGCCCATTGCTTCTTATCCTATCCTCAGAGGTTAAGAAGAACAATTTTTCTCCCTCCTCTTTGTAACGATCTTTTATGTACTTGAAAACTGTTATTGTGTCCTCTCTCAGTCTTCTCTTCTCCAGACTAAACAAACCCAATTTTTTCAATCTTCCCTCATAGGTCATGTTTTCTAGACCTTTAATCATTTTTGTTGTTCTTCTCTGGACTTTCTCCAATTTGTGTACATCTTTCCTGAAATGTGGCACCCAGAACTGGACACAATTCTCCAGTTGAGGCCTAATCAGCATTGAGTAGAGCGGAAAAAGTATTTCTCGTGTCTTGCTTACAATACTCCTGCTAATACATCCCAGAATGATGTTTGCTTTTTTTGCAACAGCATTACACTGTTGACTCATACTTAGCTTGTGATCCACTGTGACCCCCAGAACCCTTTCTGCAGTACTCCTTCCTAGGCAGTCGTTTCCCATTTTGTATGTGTGCAACTGATTTTTCCTTCCTAAGTGGAGTACTTTGCATTTGTCCTTATCGAATTTCATCCTGTTTACTTCAGACCATTTCTCTAGTTTGTCCAGATCATTTTGAATTATAATCCTATCCTTCAAAGCACTGACAATCCCTCCCAGCTTGGTATCATCCGCAAACTTTATAAGTGTACTCTCTATGCCATTATCTAAATCAGTGGATCCCAAACTTGTTCCGCCACTTGTTGCAGGGAAAGCCCCTGACGGGACGGGATGGTTTGTTTACCTGCTGTGTCCGCAGGTTCAGCCGATTGTGGCTCCCACTGGCTGCGATTCGCTGCTCCAGGCCAATGGTAGCTGCTGGAAGCGGTGGCCAGTACGTTCCTCAGCCCACGCCGCTTCCAGCAGCTCCCATTGGCCTGGAGCAGCGAACCGTGGCCACTGGGAGCCACAATCGGCCGAACCTGCGGACATGGCAGGTAAATCAACTGGCCCGGCCCTCCAGGGGCTTTTCCTGCACAAGCGGCGGAACAAGTTTGGGAACCACTGATCTAAATCATTGATGAAGATATTGAACAGAACTGGACCCAGAACTGATCGCTGCGGGACCCCATTCGTTATGCCCTTCCAGCATGACTGTGAACCACTGGTAACTGCTCTCTGGGAACAACTTTCCAACCAGTTATGCACCCACCTTATAGTAGATCCATCTAGGTTGTATTTCCCTGGTTTGTTTATGAGAAGGTCATGCGAGACAGTATTGAAAGCCTTACTAAAGTCAAGTTATACCACATCTACCCCTTCCCCCCCGATCCACAAGGCTTGTTACCCTGTCAAAGAAAGCTATCAGGTTGGTTTGACATGAGTTGTTCTTGACAAATCCATGCTGACTGTTATTTATCAACTTATTATCTTCTAGCTATTTGCAAATTGATATCTTAATTATTTGCTCCATTATCTTTCTGGGTACAGTAGTTAAGCTGACTGGTCTGTAATTCCCTGGGTTGTCCTTATTTCACTTTTTATAGATGGGCAGTATATTTGCCATTTTCCAGTCTTCTGGAATGTCTCCCATCTTCCATGACTTTTCAAAGATAATTGCTAATGGCTCAGATATCTTCTCAGTCAGCTCCTTGAGTATTCTAGGATGCATATCATCAGGCCCTGGTGATTTGAAGATATCTAACCTGTCTAAATAATTTTTGACTCGTTTTTTCCCTATTTTAGACTCTGATCCAATCTCATTTTCACTGGCATTCACTATGTTAGACGTCCCATCACCAGCAACCTTCTTGGTGGAAACCGAAACAAAGAAGTGATTAAGCACCTCTGCCATTTCCACATTTTCTGTTATTGTCTTCCCCCCCTCATTGAGTAACGGGCCTACTGTTTTGTAAACATTTTCACATAAATAAAACGAATGACAATATTTGAACATGTATTATACTCAGTGTATAAAAGGGAGGAAGAATTTGTTGTGGATGTGAATATAGAAGATGAAGTACCCAATTGAATATGACTGATATTTAATTTTAAGAGACACCGTGAAATACAGGTAGAGCAAGGGATATATTTTTAAAAATCAGAATGAAAATTGATATTATTTATAATAATATTATTCAACTGTTACATTATTTTATGCTGTGATTTTTTTTAATGTCAGTAGGTTAAAAAAATCTGCCTTTAAAAAGGTAGCAGGTATAGGAACTTGTGAAACTTTCAAAAATATCATAATTTTCTTTGGACAAGTAATAGAGCAGGGTGCTGATCTAAAACTTATTAAAGTAAATTGAAAGATTCCGACTGAATTCATTGAGGGGTTTGATTAGGCTCCAAAAAGAATAGTAGCTGATTTTTAAGTTGGCACTTACTACTATTATTATTAAATATTTTAAAACTTTTGCCCAGCCATTTTGACACAATAAAAAGCAGTCTATTAGACTTAACTCTGAGCCTTTGCTTATCATTATTAGGTGTGTTGAACAAACAAATTTTGGCAGATGATAATACTGTGCTGATATGACAAGATAATTTAAAGTCTTATTTCAAAGTAATCTAATATTTAATTCAAACTCACAAGAGGATAGATTGACTTAAATAGGACATTTATCATCCGTAGATATTAAAATCTAATAAAGAGTCTGAAAAATAAGAAATAGTAAATTTTTATAATCAAATATGCATCACAGATTAAATATTGCATTCTTTGTATCGTAGGTTTCTTGGACGTGGAGAAACCTAATATGGAGGAGCAGGTAGAAACTAAATTTAGGCTTTCAGTTTGTAAAGCTGCTTTTCATTCAGTGAAGGAGAAGCTGATGATATTTCAAAAGAAAGAGGAAGAAATTTGGCATGACGTACACCCGTTTCATTCTCTTGTTCATCCTGCTCCACAGCTTAAAGCTGTGAATCACCCAGTAAGTATAGAGAAGAGGATTTTTGCTAGAATGTATGGATCTGTAAGACTTGGACCATTTTATGTTATTGATAAAGCCTACAGAGAGAGTAAGAGATGTGAGATCCAAACTAAAAAGATACGTGGGGTTATGCAGATGCAAATTGCCAAAGGTGAAACTGACTACTGTATTAAAGGTTTTCTTGAGGAGAAAAAGAATGGTGTTCAGAAAAGATGCAAAGAAGAAGATATTAGAATTCAAGAAGCTTTACAACAACATCAATTGAGAAGATCAGGATTTATTGAAAAAGTAAGGCAAAGGCATGCTCAGTTTTTAGAAACCAAGAACCAGAAAGCATCAGAGTATTCATTAATTCAAGACTTCAGCATTCAGCATGCTTCTTTGACACAGAGTTTGTTTAGACTTGACAGATTGAGGAAAAGTGAGGAAACCCTGAAGGAAAGAAAAAGCATTGTTAAGGAAAACAAAGAAGATATGGAAAAATGGAAGGAGCTGATTAAAAATTTTCAGGAGCAGAGGTATGTTTCTCTTAATATTCAGTGTTATAATATGAATGCTGGATTGGATGTGGATCATTTTTCTAGATTGAAATACATCCATATGCTAGAATGTTTTGGATGCTTTTTTGTAGAATAAACAGAAACACAAATAAATCACATCCGTGCTCAGTTCCAAAAACAGATCAAATATCAGAGTTACAGTATTGTAAACAAAGTGTTCCTCTAGAAGTGGAACCACAAAATCAAGGGGAACTTCAAGTACAACCTTAATACCTCACTTAGCCAATCGTGTCCCTTGCACTGAATCTGAGCACAAGTGCTAGGTACATATACTGGGTACTTGGGAAGGTGGGGAGACCTCAGGCCTGAAGTGGCCTGTATAGTGTTTTGTTTGCCTCCCATAGGGAAAATCGAACAGATCCACAAAGTAGTGGAATTCAGAGCCACCTTTCTCAGCTCACCCAACTCTGCAGCAGCGTGAAAGTTCCCTGTGTGCACCACCTTCCATGGCTAAGGAGGACAGGGCAGGATTTGTCCATTTACATAAAGTGAGGACAGCGACCATAACCACATTTCAACACTAACATGATTTTTTTAAGGGAATATTCCACAAAATAAAACATTGGGGTTTTTTTTTGTCTACAAAAATAAAGCAGACAGTACATTATTCTTACTATGCAGCATCACCTGTGCTGGATTATACTGTCAAAAGTCTATAGAAAGCAAACAAAAAGCATCAAAGTATTCATTAGTCCAAGACTTCACCATTGTGGTTAAGATTTCTCATTCTTTTCTTTGAGACTTTGCACAGTAGAAAATGTATGCTTGTGTAATCATGCCCTGTTCAGATAAGACACAACAGCAACCTTTTTGTCTCACGATGCAGTGTCTTTGTGTGTAGCACAATGCCATGTTATTTTTACTAAGGTGCAAATAAATCTTTAACAGTTTATTGCCCAAGACAATTTTGGGGCAAAAAAACTGAATCGAGAATGTCAATGCATTCCTTAGAATTCAGCTTGATACAATTTGGAATAGATGAGCCTTGAACCATGAAAATTAGGATTTTGTAAATGTATGGCAAAAGTAAATTCTATTGTGCAATATAACTATTCTGCACACATACTAACTGCATTTTTCAGGCAATTACTTTATCTATTTTAAAGTATTTTTTTCCAAATCCCTAAAGACACCTATTCACATTAAAGCATAGCTCTGCTCTGAAAAATGACTTGTGAGGGTCCATGTTTGTTAGCTTCCAATGACATCCATATGAAATATGCTTAATTTACAGTAAAAATGTTTTTCTTTAACTACAAGCACAACCTCCAATCTGAGAAGTGAGTGAGCCAATTTCCATGTTTCCCGCAAACAAAAGTTCTGCAAGCCGTATTAAACCCCCAGTTGCACCTGTGTAACCTTATTGTCTCAAATTATGCCATTTGTGACAGCTGAGCAATTCCATTGTCTTCAATGGGTTTACACTTGTGTAACTGATTGGAAATTTAGTAAATGATTGTGTTGATGATGCACAAGATGGAATAGAATCTAGCTCTCTCCCTCTTGGTTATTGGCTTTGCCATGCTAAGGGGAATAAAAAGCAATAATGGAATGAATAGACCAGATCTATTCTACAGAACAATCTGGACTGCTTGGTAAAATGGGCTCACTTGAACAACGTGCATTTTAATATAACCACTGTGTACACCTAAGAACAAAGAGGTATAGGTCACACTTACACGATGGAGGACTGGATTCTGGAAAACAGTGACTCTGAAAATGACTTCAAGGTCGTGATGGATACCCAACTAGAATCATAGACTATCAGGGTTGGAAGGGACCTCAGGAGGTCATCTAGTCCAACCCCCTGCTCAAAGCAGGACCAAACCCCAATTAAATCATCCCAGCCAGGGCTTTGTCAAGCCTGACCTTAAAAACTTCTAAGGAAGGAGATTCTACTACCTCCCTAGGTAACGCATTCCAGTGTTTCACCACCCTCCTAGTGAAAAAGTTTTTCGTAATATCCAACCTAAACCTCCCCCACTGCAACTTGAGACCATTGCTCCTTGTCCTGTCATCTTCTACCACTGAGAATAGTCTAGAACCATCCTCTTTGGAACCACCTCTCAGGTAGTTGAAAGCAGCTATCAAATCCCCCCTCATTCTTCTCTTCTGCAGACTAAACAATCCCAGTTCCCTCAGCCTCTCCTCATAACTTATGTGTTCCAGACCCCTAATCATTTTTGTTGCCCTTCGCTGGACTCTCTCCAGTTTTTCCACATCCTGCTTGTAGTGTGGGGCCCAAAACTGGACACAGTACTCCAGATGAGGCCTCACCAATGTCAAATAGAGGGGAACGATCACGTCCCTCGATCTGCTGGCTATGTCCCTACTTATACATCCCAAAATGCCATTGGCCTTCATGGCAACAAGGGCACACTGTTGACTCATATCCAGCTTCTCATCTACTGTCACCCCTAGGTCCTTTTCCGCAGAACTGCTGCCTAGCCATTCGGTCCCTAGTCTGTAGCGGTGCTTTGGATTCTTCTGTCCTAAGTGCAGGACCCTGCACTTATCCTTGTTGGACCTCATCAGATTTCTTTTGGCCCAATCCTCCAATTTGTCGAGGGCCCTCTGTATCCTATCCCTACCTGCCACCGTATCTACCACTCCTCCTAGTTTAGTATCATCTGCAAATTTGCTGAGAGTGCAATCCACACCATCCTCCAGATCATTTATGAAGATATTGAACAAAACCGGCCCCAGGACTGACCCTTGGGGCACTCCACTTGATACCAGCTGCCATCTAGACATGGAGCCATTGATCACTAGCTGTTGATCCCGACAATCTAGCCAACTTTCTACCCACCTTGTAGTGCATCCATCCAGCCCATACTTCTTTAACTTGCTGACAAGAATACTGTGGGAGACGGTGTCAAAAGCTTTGCTAAAGTCAAGAAACAATACATCCACTGCTTTCCCTTCATCCACAGAACCAGTAATCTCATCATAGAAGGCGATTAGATTAGTCAGGCATGACCTTCCCTTGGTGAATCCATGCTGACTGTTCCTGATCACTTTCCTCTCGTGTAAGTGCTTCAGGATTGATTCCTTGAGGACATGCTCCATGATTTTTCCGGGGACTGAGGTGAGGCTGACCGGCCTGTAGTTCCCAGGATCCTCCTTCTTCCCTTTTTTAAAGATGGGCACTACATTAGCCATTTTCCAGTTGTCCGGGACTTCCCCCGATCGCCATGAGTTTTCAAAGATAATGGCCAATGGCTCTGCAATCACATCCGCCAACTCCTTTAGCACTCTCGGATGCAATGCATCCGGCCCCATGGACTTGTGCACGTCCAGCTTTTCTAAATAGTCCCGAACCACTTCTTTCTCCACAGAGGGCTGGCCACCTACTCCCCATGCTGTGTTGCCCAGTGCAGCAGTCTGGGAGCTGACCTTGTTCGTGAAGACAGAGGCAAAGAAAGCATTGAGTACATTAGCTTTTTCCACATCCTCTGTCACTAGGTTGCCTCCCTCATTCAGTAAGGGGCTCACACTTTCCTTGGCTTTCTTCTTGTTGCCAACATACCTGAAGAAACCCTTCTTGTTACTCTTAACATCTCTTGCTAGCTGCAGCTCCAGGTGCGATTTGGCCCTCCTGATTTCATTCCTACATGCCCGAGCAATATTTTTATACTCTTCCCTGGTCATTTGTCTAATCTTCCACATCTTGTAAGCTTCTTTTTTATGTTTAAGATCCGCAAGGATTTCACTGTTAAGCCAAGCTGGTCGCCTGCCATATTTACTATTCTTTCGACACATCGGGATGGTTTGTCCCTGTAACCTCAATAGGGTTTCTTTGAAATACAGCCAGCTCTCCTGGACTCCTTTCCCCCTCATGTTATTCCCCCAGGGGATCCTACCCATCAGTTCCCTGAGGGAGTCGAAGTCTGCTTTCCTGAAGTCCAGGGTCCGTATTCTGCTGCTTCCCTTTCTTCCCTATGTCAGGATCCTGAACTTGACCAACTCATGATCACTGCCTCCCAGATTCCCATCCACTTTTGCTTCCCCTACTAATTCTTCCCGGTTTGTGAGCAGCAGGTCAAGAAAAGGTCTCCCCCTAGTTGGCTCCTTCAGCACTTGCACCAGGAAATTGTCCCCTACATTTTCCAAAAACTTCCTGGATTGTCTGTGCACTGCTGTAGTGCTCTCCCAGCAGATATCAGGATGATTAAAGTCGCCCATGAGAACCTGGGTGTGCGATCTAGTACCTTCTGCGAGTTGCCGGAAGAAAGCCTCATCCACCTCATCCCCCTGGTCCGGTGGTCTATAGCAGACTCCCACCACTACATCACTCTTGTTGCTCACACTTCTAAACTTAATCCAGAGACACTCAGGTTTTTCTGCAGTTTCATACCGGAGCTCTGAGCAGTCATACTGCTCCCTTACATACAGTGCTACTCCCCCACCTTTTCTGCCCTGCCTGTCCTTCCTGAACAGTTTATAACCATCCATGACAGTACTCTAGTCATGTGAGTTATCCCAGCAAGTCTCTGTTATTCCAATAACGTCATAATTCCTTACCTTCACCAGGACCTCCAGTTCTCCCTGCTTGTTTCCAAGGCTTTGGGCATTTGTATATAGGCACTTGAGATAACCTGCTGATCGCCCCTCATTCTCAGTATGAGGTAGGAGCCCTCCCCTCACAGATGTTCCTGCCTGTGCTTCCTCCGGGTATTCTGCTTGCCCACTTACCTCAGGGCTTTGGTCTCCTTCCCCCAGTGAACCTAGTTTAAAGCCCTCCTCGCAAAGATGGTTAGCCAGCCTGCTCGCAAAGATGCTCTTCCCTCTCTTCTTTAGGTGGAGCCTGTCTCTGCCCAGCACTCCTCCTTCATGGAACACCATCCCATGGGTCAAAGAATCCAAAGCCTTCTCTCCGACACCACCTGCGTAGCCATTCGTTGACTTCCACGATTTGACTGTCCCTACCCCGGCCTTTTCCTTCCACGTGGAGGATG